CAAGAGCTCCAGGAAGGTTGTTTCTTGTTATTTCAGAAAGCAGTGCAGGTATTCAGACAACGCACTAGGAAATACAATTCAAAATAGGAGCAATGATAAAGGCTGAAGAGACTTTTTTTACCAAATGCCACCCACTAAAGTAGGTCTCGTCATACAAATCAGTTTGCCAGACATGAGAAGTTATCGTAATGAAAGAAAATTTTTTTTCTGACCAACTCTTTACGAGTTTAACAACAAGAATCACTGTGCATAAATTCCTTCTGAAACGTTAGAAAACTGTGTCTGTTGGGGTGGGCTGAGGTGAAGTAACAGGACAATGTGGGGAATCATGGAGAGGATGGAAAGACAGACTGAACACAAGGGATCCTCTAGTCCACCACGTTTCCACAAAGCAGCACCAGTTATTCTTGTCCTTCCTAAGATACTTGGCTAGTTACTCCATTCAACATTCCTTGTAAATTAGACCTTCAAGATCTCTGATTATCATCACTATACTCTACCTCCTTCTTGCTGTACAGTGCCCAAAATGGGATATCACACTCCCGACTACCAGCACAGCCACAGCTAAGCAGGGAGTGTCTGTCAACAGCAACTGCACTCTCTGCACAGGTATACATTTTAACTGAACTACCGACAGAGAAACTCATGTTCTGTTTCTAAATAACTAAAGCTCTCCTCTCAGAGATTTCCAATGTCCCTTTAATCATCTGAACTTGGAAGCCAGTTCTAACCGTGTTGCATCACAGAAAAATTAAGATAATATTTAGAACGTATTTGCTCTTTTGAACCTCTAGTAGTTGAATGAGCATGGATCAGAAACAATCTCAGCTCTGAAGCACTTGATTAGCAAACAATAGAAACGGTCATGCAAGACAGGTGAGGACAGGATACATTTGTCTTCAGTGTTAGTGCCACAACTGATGACCCTGTACAAGAATAGAAGGCACAGTGCTCACATGTCTTGCTGCAAGCAGATATTCCTTCATAAGAATCTTAAAAAGCAAGGGTATAATCAGTTTGAATGACAACCCTATTAAGAGCTGTGCCTTTAAGCCTTCCTTAAACATCACTGAAACATTTCAACAGGATGACATTAGGAAACAGGAAAATACCAAGGGATTTCAGCCCAGTTAAATGGAAGGTTGATGCTGGGAGAAGGCAAGTGAACCAGAGTCACACAGCTGGACAGTGGGATATGGAGACTCCTTGGAGGCCACCTTTGGTTTCCCAATGACTCTGTCTTGCTTGCTCAAAGCAGCTAGTCATGCTGCTTTGGCTACAGACATGTCCTGCACAGGTTTCCCAGCTGCTGGGGAAAAACTCAGAGGAGATGAAAGTTCAGGGCAGCAATTTCTGCATGGTTGTATTCAAGATTATTTGTAGTGTAATGACATGTGTGCAGGTCTCAAGTAATATATTTATAATGCTGCAACACATACTGGCCTTGAGTAAATCACTAAGCACACACTTTTTGATGGGTTTTTACTTATTTACATGAGTATATGAGGCTTATCCACAGCCAAAACCTTCAAACTAGATTTTCCATATATTTGTGCTATCACCTACTTCATTCTCTCAAAGAATGAATGTGAAAACTCACAGCTTAAATTGATAATTTGTTAATGTTCCACATTTTACAAAACCACAAGCACAATGATTAAAGGAGTGCAAAATATATGTTTGTCACATGATATAGTTAGTAGGAAATATTTGAGACATATTTGCCTCAAAAAAAAAAGACCAGTTCATTAAAAACAAAGTTACTTGCAAGGAAATGTGCCAATTCATTTGTCATTTAAAAAGGCAGAGAGAGTTTTAAAATTGCTCAAATATTCTATTTAGATATTTTCAAGGTGAAAAAGTTCCGGTTTGAAGTTCAAAACTATCCTTTTGGGTTTCTTTCCCTAAAGACTAATACAGATATGTAGAAAAACAAATCAAAATGAAATATTTCAAACATACTGATATATTTCACTTGATCTGATTCACCTTACCCCAACCTTTATTTATAAAATAAAATGTATTTTATCTTTTTTTTTTTAAATTCTTTACACACATGATAATTATTTCCATCTTCGTGTTCTGCAAAGTCATTTCATTAAAATATCTGAAGAATATTTTTAGTAATATTTTGAATCTATCTTTTTTTTACCCCTGAATTCTTTCATCATTAGGGATATACATTTTAAAAAATAGTCTTAATATTAAAGAGTTCTCCTTTTTCAGTAGCTTACTCTTCCCAAGGCCTTAGTCAATGATTTCTAACATTATAAACTATATTCTTATAGCAACTAATTGCGAAGCCACAGCCAGAAGTCTTTAATTCAAGGTGAAGAATAGGTATCTGGGAGACATAAGAAATGCTGGTAATGATTCTGATTTACAAGAAAGTATTAAATCAACGACCCAAAAGCCCAAGACAAAAAAGCAAATTGTTCTAGAGATAAAATGCAGCATCAGACAGGCATTTTTAGCTTTTTTTTTCTCTGTGAAACAGGGAGCATTGTACTTGTTGAATCTGGAACACTCCCAAAACCAAGGACATAGATGTTCACAAGAGGAAGTCCTTGCAAAACTGGCAATAAACAGGAGCAATATGTAACAGTTTCTCCACTCACAGTCATCAACCCACTGGCTTATAAACCTGTACTCAATGTTTGGTAGAAGTTTATACCACAGGAGGGTATTGCCTCATATGTTTGAAGTAGACTGGATGAGTTTGCTGCACTCAGGGGGAGACACATGCTTGGTGGGTTGTCTTCTGCATCTATCGGTCAAGGAAAGATCTTTGCCTTCTTCATGTCCCTTGTTGCACAGCCCCAAAGAGCTTTTTGACATCTCCCCCAGTCAGGTCAGCATTTTAGTTTTCAACTAATAAGAATATGTTTAATTAACAAGCACACAAAATTCTGCAGTTACCAAGGATGCAACTCCCTAATATTTAAATAGTCTCTTTCTTTTCAGCAAGCTACTTACTTTGTTTAACCCATTTGACCTACTGTGGGAACTGACCCTTTGCACAAAATGGTTTTGTATAAACTGCGAGCAAGGTTGTGGGGCTGGCCAGGGCTGGTCTCTGATGTGAGTAGCCAGTTCAGGGGAGTGACCACTAACAAGTCTTAATTGCAATCAAACTGCGAGTTAAGTGTCTAGGTAGTGTTCATTTTGCACATTTTCACATCCGAATGTCTGTATTTTTGTAGTCATTTCTAAGTTTGATGTCAAATGACATTTTGCTAGAGAAATACCCACGCTTATAATAGTTCGGTGCTAAAATCCTACCTCCTGGGCAAACAGTGATTTAAATGTGATTAATATTAAATGTATGTGCATGTGTTAGTAAATACATCCTTGTAAAACAGTCACTGGAAGCACAAATTTGAAGTCTTTATGTCAAGATAGAACATTTATAATATAGAATAGCTATTACAACATAAGGGAAATTTTAAAAAAAAGTCAGCTGTACTAGCAGCCAATGTTGCTGAAATCAAGATTTTCATTATGAAGTTATTAATATCCTTCTTATTGATTATTATCCATTTCTTTGTATCATCAAGATGCTCCAGGCACAGAGCAGATGCAACTCCTACACAAAAGAGTCCAACTACATTGGACATCCCAAAAAATTTTGATTTTCTCAGTGTTAGTATTTCCCTAAAATAAAATGCTTAGCATTGGACTCTCACTTGACAAAGAATCCTACAAGTCACATCTGCTGAAGTAAGTAAAGGAAATATATGCAAAGGTCAGGCACTATTACACACAGTATCCTAACAGTATCCTAAAAAATCTTCTCATAGTATTTAGCAGCCTGGTCACTAGTCTGAGACTCTCGGGCTAGTAGGTCCCAGCCCTCATTTTTTTTCAAAACGAACTCGAAGACATAGGTATCAGTAATTGGTGCCGTGCTAGAAGAAAAGTCAGTAAGAAGATGGCAGCCACAACATTCTTCCCTTGTGCTGTTGAAAGCAGCAGCAGTAACTAAAGCTTCTGGAACTGCAAAAACTTTCTTCTGAAACTGGGATTTTATTTTAATGACAACATTTCCACTTAACAAAGTCAAGTGGATATTAGGACAAATATTTTGTTTATTTAGTTAAATCAAAAGATCTGTAATCTCTTCTCAAAAATATTTTAAAACCTAGTACCTTTTCTGAATTTTGTTCTGATTTATTTTCTTTCACATAGTTCAACTAAGGATGCATCATATAACCCTACGAGTAGAGTTTCTTCTGCTTTTTATGTGAAGAAAAATTAAAGGTCAATTTTCAGCACATTATATATTTCTTGTTTTCTGACTATTTAAACATCTTGAAAATTTGGTTAAAGAAACTGAAATCTAATGTTTTATGGTATCATTTATTTCACTGTACTGAAAACAAACAAACAAAAGCACCGAAATTTGCTACCTCTTCCCAGTAAAAAATGAAATCACTAGCAAGGGATCACCTCTCGTGTTTTCATGAAATTAAATGCTAATTTTTTTCCAGATAGATTTTGCATATTTGCCAGAGTTCAGCTCTGAACTACTCATAGAAAATCCCAAGAACATAATGTGAACATAAAACGCTACTGTCTGTTGTCTACAGACACCTCAGTTTTACAGTGGGGGTGTTGATGCTTTCAACCTTTTTATTACCTGAAAAACCATCAACAGCTTTATAATGATGAATGCAACACAGTTCAGTGTGCATTTGCAAAGTTCACTTTTAAGGGCAGATGTGTGCCAGCACATCTGGAAACCACTTTTAATTATACTTTCCTCAAGTGGGAAAGCAGTAGCTTGTACCCATAGTGAAGGTTTTATATCTGACCACACAAATACCAGCAACCACCTGTGCTTTACACTGATTTTCATTATAGACTATATCACATTACTACCCTATTGTTCCAGAACGGCATCTGAAGCTGTTGTGTGACTAAGCTGCATCAAGTGTGGTCTTGAAAAGGCCTCTACTCTACAAAAATGTAATAAACTTGATTGCAGTTAGGGTACTTACCAGTGAGGGTATCACAATATGCCTTCTCCTAAAGTTGGCTCCTCTTGCTCTGAAAGTCATAAAAGATATACATTAACAATCATTATTACCAGTCTGGGAATTGGAATTTAGTAAACTCATGTATGCCCCCAAACGAGATACCTTGTAAGCATTTTGGAATTCCTTTCCAGTATTTGTGTCTTTCCTACTATTAATCCAGCAGTATTTTAGCCAAATACTCTGCTGCTTCAGCCATGTTCTGAGACTACAAATTTCAAATGTGATCTGCCAGCCTGACCCTATTTCGATTCCATCATCAATATTTTCATAGGTTGCAAACATTGTGAGTTACACAACTACGTTGGGTTTTCTAAACTTAAACCTTCCTCCCCTACTCCCCGTTGCCCCACCCAAACATAACAGACTTTTTACATCACTGTTCCTCATTTCTGACAATTAAAAAAACAACTTTCAGATGTTTGCGAAACTCTTTTCTTCTTCACAACACTCTTCCTATATTTTGGAAGGCTGTAATGTTGACATGCAAAATGTTGTATGTCCCAGTGGAAGGGAAAGGTCAAACATTTGCAACTCTCAGGCACTGGGAGACGTGGCATGCCCAGGGACAGACTGATCATAAGTGGACATGGGATGTACAAATTTGTAAGACGTAAAGCCCAAAATTTTGCAGACTGTGTTTTAAGACAATTTGCTATGCTGACCTGCATAATGTACAGGGAACTTTAAAAACCCCAAATAATCACTTTAGTATAACTTAATCTGCTTGTCCGTTACTATGCTTGAAAGAAAGGCCTCCACATTGTTACACATCTAAGAACCAACATTCACCTGTCTGCTACTTTCCATCTATAACCCAGGACTCACATTCTGTGGTAACTCATGAAGCCACAGAGGATCCTTCACAGGACTGAGCCCTCTCCCAGTGCTCTGCCCATGTAACTGCACCACACGCTGCCAAGGGCTCTGGGATTGCAGCTGAAAGAAACTCACCCCGCTCTGGGGAAGCCTCAAAGCAGACCTCAGTCCGGGATCCCAAAACAGCCGCTGTGCTCCCTCTCTGCCAGGCAGAACAACAACTGATCTGTACAGTCACAAGTACCTTGGCTTCTCTCCTGCCCTCCTATCGCTCTGCCCGCTCTGTTACGCGCAGCTGCACCGAGGCGCAGAAGTGTCCCTGTGCCCCTGCCTCACACCACCCCAGAGAGCTGCTTCTGCGGCAGGCAGGACTCTCCAGGTCAGCAGAGGGGGAACAGCAAGCTTTGCTTTAATGCACCTTTTTTTTTTTGGTTACCTCATAGCCTCACATGTGAAACCTGGTAGGCATTTAAACATTCACCCATCTACTATGCATTAAAATTACGTAGGGAGTGTTCACTGGGTCATACTTCGCAAAAATATTCATAATATTTTAAGATTGAGTATTTCAACAGTTCATAACCCCCCTGCTGTAAAAACATAACCTGATTTCACACTGCAAATATATTTATTATCCATGCAAACAAGGCAAATATTCCTACTTCTATTCTTTTATTATCTGTGGATACAATTTTACATTGCTAATAAAAACGTTCATTTTTGTGAATTACTTAAAATAAAAATGATTATTGTCTACTTCAAAATACAGACACACTTCGAATATAACTTGTTAAAGGTTTTCCAACCAAATACACCTATGGGTCAAACAAAGACTGAAGCACTCTACGGTACTCTACAAAAGAGAAAAATATCCTTTTTTTGTTTGAAGATGAAATCAACCTTATTGAAAGAATTTGGTGTCTAATTATCAAAACAATAGACCTAGAATGTATATTCATTTCATATTGGACATATATCTAATGCAGCATTTTAACAGGGATACAATGGAAGACAGGTAGCTGCCCACACTGAACCTCTGCTTGCAATGGTGACACAAATTGATAATCAAGATCAGAGTAATTTCTAGAGTAATTTCTAGAAGGGGAGAAGGACAAGAGAAAGGACTGCAAATGGGTAAAATAAGCGCTCAGTTGTCTTTTTATTTAGAATACAAGGAAGGTACATTCAAGCCTTTTACTCAGTAAACCTTCTTCTTTGAGGACTTCCAATGAAGACAACAAAGCTGCTTGAGAAGATGGCAATGCTAGTCATGCTGGTGTCATTGGGATCTAAGGGGGAAGAGGCAGCTTTTGGCAGCCCGGAGCAGCCAGGTCACAGGGTGTGGGATCCAAAGAGATGTTAGTCAGGGGGATTCTCTCTGCTGACTGCAATGGGCACCAGATCAGTCCCTTGCCCTTATACCTCTCTAACTATCCCACTCCTAACGCTGTCATCATGAGCTTAAGTATGTGACTGGGAAGGACAGCAGAAATGTCTTTGAAGTCATGAAATATATCCAAGATTCTGGACACCTGCCATTTTAAAACACTGAGCTGAACGCACTTGGCCTTAGCAGCAGGTTAACGGTCTGGAAGCAAGGAGTTGACAAACAGAGGAAAAAAAAACCCCACCATGGGTGCATCCTCCCCGCCTAACTGCCTCTGATTCCAGGCATTTTGGGTGCACTGAGCCGTGCCCCCAGGACCATCCAGTCAGGCAGACCGCACGCCTGCAGCCGCACCAGAGCCTGCCCGTTGTGCCGCCGTCCCTGAGCCCACTGGAAACCAGCTCCGGGCTCAGGGCTGGTGCTTGGGGCTGCACATATCTGCAGAAGGGAAAACACACGGGCTGAGGTGCAGGGTGCTGGGGAAGCCAAGCAGGCAGAGGGATTGCTCCCGGGAGCAGGGTACCACCGCCAAGGCGGCAGCTGCTCTCCCCAGAGCAGGGTTAATGTCGTCTCCGTTCCCTCCTATAGCAAACTGATTGAAAATACTAAAAAGTCTTTGCAATCCTATTGGTCCTGCCAAGGGAGCTTGACTGGCAGGACAATGCATCTTTGTTCTCAATTAAAAACATTATTTGGGCACGGCAATTATTTAAAAGCCAGAAGGAATGAGATTTTGTGATTATAACCACAATTTGCCAATTGAAGCAAATGTTTTAAGCAATCAAGGTTTGGTAGAGAAAGAAGAGAGAGGGGAATAATAACAAACACTACTATGACTACATGTAGCTTTCATCCAGCCAGTACAATTTTACATGTATTCTGAGATCAATGCAGCATAATCACAAACCAAAATCGTAACTGCAGTGAAAACCCACATCCAACGTGCTGATATGGAGGGATTCCATTTGCACATTACATGGCTGGATACTGCAAGTAGCCTGCCTGCTATGTTCTCCTTTCCGTAAGAATACACGGCAACTGTGGCTATTCTAATACTGAAAAATGGGAAGCAGAGCAGGAAAGAAGTGGAGAGAATTTGTGTTAAATTGGATTTCTGTGTCTCCTCCTGTAGTTTTTATCAACCAGATGACAAAACATTATCATTAGCAGTTTATACCGAAAGTTAACATTTGCCTATGGTTTTCTATTTTCTCCAAACCACAAAGGTTGGAGCCTGTAATGCACTCCCCTTATCTTACTCTGTTACTTTAGAATCTAAGGGCGCACTGTGCACATCAATCTTTCATGGCAGAGTTCACTGAAGTTCTGCCAAAATTCAATAATTATGTTTCATCCAATGCAGCAATTTATTTATCTCATTGATGGAATTTAGAACATATAGAACAAAGTGCTTAGTTTATATGAATGAAAACCTTGCTAAAAAAGCCCCAACAAATCCACAAGACAAAACAAAACAACCCCGTTTAATTTCTAAAGTTCTAAAACATGCAACAGAATCTACCAAAGAATAAAGCTGTTTTTATAAGATCAATGTTTTCTTGATAAACTGAAAGCATTCTACAATGTTTAGGGTTCTTTTTCTTTTCACATAAGTGAAAGAATTTTGTAAATACATTTGTACCTTTTATTCAAATACATAACAATAGGTACCACTTACACTGCACCAATAATATATGAAATATTAATGTTTAATAGTCAGTAAAAATGCCAACTAAAAAGCAATAATTTGTATTTTGAATGGAGAATAAATTGGTTTAGTGCACTGAAATGGGTAACTGAGAGCTCAACAGTTCCATGGAGCAAAATCTAAGATACAAAATTACAACAAAGTTAAGCTTTATAATTGCACTCTTTCATGATATGTTTGCAAACAAATAGAAAACATAAAGCCCTCCAAGTAGGAAGATTAGAGACATGTTATTCCTGAGGGCTGTTAAAAATTAAAATGGCACAAAGGAGAATACTTAATATTCTTCACCTATTTCCTTTAGTCTCAGGAAAAGTAACAAAACAGTTATTTATCAACCTAACTATAAAGAAGAACCATTAATCTACTGGTTTGGGATTTAGAAACAGAATACAGTATCTATAAATTTTAAATTTTAAACTTGTGAGTACAGAATGTTGATTTATCTCATGGAAACATAACTTCTTCATATGTTCATACAGACAATAGATTTGATGAAAGAAAATGTTAATTTGGTGCCTGCATTCAAAAGCCAAATTTATGATATTTTAAGTTTTTATGCAAAACTCTCTGTTACTTTGTAGATTAGATTTTACACTTCAGAAATGTTATGAGATAAAATTTGACTCTGGATTTAAAAACTGCTCACAAAGTTTTTGGACCATAACTTGCTGTGATTTATAACACAACTAAAACAGAAATGTACACAACTAAAACAGAAATTAAAACCTCTAGAAGTAGTACACTTGCATGTGTTCATTATTCCACAGTAAAACCTTGTAGGCAAAACCAGGAATATCACTGTAAGACATTTTAAAATTAGTTTTGCAGTAACAAGGTGGGTATGTGCATATTTTAAATTAACTGTACTTAATTCAGTAACTCGGGAGAAATTACTTCCACGCATCAGCAAATAAATTCTATAACAATTTGCAAAACCTCTACTATCACATTTACTTTTTCACCCAGTATGGTCATTTTCTGGCAATGCTTTACATTAAAATAGGATTCAACTGTGACGTATTTTTCCCCTGTTGTAAAAACTTTTCAAAACCCCCAGAAAAATGCAATTAACTTCTATGGGTTTTATTTTACTAAT